GAAAATAAGTTTCCCATGTGATATGTGGTCTAGTTGTTGGAAAAATTTGCAAATATGAATTTCGACTTTATTTGCAAAATCTCTCGAGAATTTGTAAAAATGGGCATAACTTTTGCATACTAACTCGGATGAAAAACTTTTTTATATGAGAAATCATCTACTCGAAAAGTTACATCCAAATTTGGTTTGCAAATGAGGTCCCAGTTTACCTTATTCTTTTCGTTGTTGGTTTTCCAACAACTCCGTTATAACCTTCTTGGAAGGGCGCTTTCCAAGTTCATTTGTGGCAGCAATTGTCATTTTCTTCTCCGTTCTTTTCATTCCAATGATCTATCTTCTATTTCTTCTTTCGGAGGCAATGTGATGTTGCTCTCTTCGCTCATCATCCCGAATTGTGAGGATCGTGTTTTTTTTCGTGCTTATCCATTTAACGGGACTGTTGTGTCATCTCTTCAAGTTCTTTCATCTTGTCAAGTTTTGCCTCTCTTTTCAACCTGAGTGCTGTCTGAAATCCTTCTTACCCATTATGCCACTCTTTCAATAGTTTCGAAGGCAGTGTGTTGTTGATTTCATCAAGTATCATCCCATCTTCTCAAGTTCATGTTCAATTTCTTCCATTTACAGTCGGAGTGCTGTCAAAATTATATCATTCTTATTCATTCTTATCTCGTTTCAACCAGAGTGGTTTCAATTCCTTCTTGTCCATTGTGCTCATCAATCATGTCTTTGCAACCTTCAAGTTCTCGTTATGTTCCTTGTTCCTCTTTTCTAACGGACTGTTTGCAAACTTGGTCATCTCCGTTGTTTTGTTTCTTTCAATTTGTTCAACCTCTCAAGGTTCGTGGTTTCACTCATTGGTCGAAGAAGCAACTTAGTTTTACCTCTTCTCTTCCTTTTCCTTTTCCCTCCGGTGCCATCCTAGATCTCGGGACGAGATTCTCTCATAGTGGTGGAGTGTTGTAACGCCCCGGATACAACTTTTCATATTCGTAACTCCGACTCTTGCCTTTTTCCGGAGATGTGATTTATTATTTCCTCCGTGGTTGGGTTTTTGTCTGTTGTTTTGCCTTTTGTTCTTGTTATGCATCTCGTCTCACAGCATCATGCGCATTGCATCGGCATCGTTTTCATAAAACTTGCATCCGTTCTGGTTCCGCCGGTTCTCTCCGTTGTCCGTTCTGAACCCGACCACACTCGCATGCGCCCGCGGCACCTCCAAAATATTATTTTATAAGTGGCATAAAAATGTTCTCGGAATGGGATGGGACTTGTCGTGCGGTCTTATTATTGTGTAGGTAGACCGCCTGCCAAGTTTCATCGCGTTCGGAGTTCGTTTGATAGCCCAACCGTTAAACTATAGCGGCATTATAGCCGGTCTAACGTCGGACGTTTTCGGTCTCCGGAAACAGTCGCCGGGCTGCCTTCTCCTCCCTCTTCTCAGCCCAACCCCCTCTTTGCACAACCACAGACCCCCCCCGTGTGTGCGTCCGAGAATTGTCCGGAACCCGACCCGCTCTGTCGTTACCGTTGGATCCGGATCATCTCCAAATGTCTGTAAAATATCTTTGGTTTCTCTTTTGGACTCCCTAGCTTATTTTTCTCGTCCGCCTGATTACGATCGGAGGGACCGATTAGCCCCTAACCTAATCCATCTACTGTATATATTTTGAACAACCCTAAAATTGAGGAGAGATGTCCCATCCTCCCAGCCAGCCGCCGCCGCCACTCCACAAAATCCCCATCGGGATCATCCCAGATCCACCTCCCTCCTCATTTTCCTCTCCTGCCAGATCCAACCAGCGGCCCCAACCATCTCCCTTGATTTCCGCCGCCACCCAACCAGTGCATCCCTCCCGATCCATCCATCCAACAGCCATGAGGGCCTCCTCTGCCTCCCCGTTCGGCCTGGATCGGAGCCCGAGCGTGGAGAGTTCGCTCCCGAACCAGCGCACTCGCCGGCTCCTCACCGAGCACCTCGCCACCAACCCTCGCCGGCCATCGTAGCCCTCGTCGTCCGCAACCGACCCGCAGGACCTGACCGCTTCCCCGCGTCATCGTCTGTCCATCGCGCACCAGCAGAACAGGCCGGCCTCCATCGTCCCCTCCTCGCCAAGTCCCGCGCCAAGCCTCCGCGTCGCCGGAGCCCTATGCAGCTGCGCCGCTGCCTGTCTGCATCTCCTCTGCCTCGCCCCGTTCGCCTGCAAGCAGCACCACCACCGGAGTTCCCTTCGTCGTCGGTCACCACCACCAGGTCGTCCCGCTCCCTGCCATCTCCCTCCTCTCGATTCTCCGCCTCCTATGGATGCCTCTCACCTCTCGACCTCTCTCTCTGTTCAAGCAGGAGCACACCAGCGCCATGGAAGCCTCCCGATGGATCCCGGCCTCCTCCCCGCCTCGCCGGAGCAAGCCAGCAGGCAGACCCCGTCGCGCCCCACTCCGGCCTCCCTCGCTTTTCCCCGCGTCACCGGAGCCCCGCGTCCACGCTCCGTTCGTCGCCGTCTCTGCCAGGTCCGGCGGGTCCCCGCACCCCGGCCTCGTCCCTGGCTCCAAGTCGCCGCGCCGCCCCACCGGAGACCGCCAAGTCCATCGCCGCCTGCTCTGCCCGTCCTCTGCATCGCGCCAAGTCCTGCTCCTGCCTCTGTTCGAGACGACTGCTTCAGCGCCCCGCATCGCCCCCGTTGACCAGCGCGTGAGCCGCGCCAAGGCCCAGCCCAGCTACCGCAGCCCCATGCCGGCCTCCTCCAGATCTGACTGGGCCGAGCCCATGGGTGAGGCCACTCCCCCAGCGCCTCTTGTTTTTTTTACTGATGGGCCTGCTCCAAGTTCAGTTTCGGCCCGTGTAGGTTTTTTTTCAGTTCTGTGATTTTAGCAATTATCCGAGGATTTGCAGTTTTGCAGAATAGTCCCCCTAGTTCATGCATTTAATAACTCACTAACTGTGCATCGGTTTGAAATAAGTTATATATGAAACTTGCTCAGAATTTCGTGTAGATTAATAATATCCAACTTTCATCCATGTTTGAAATGTCTAAAATGATGTTTGCATTAATTTGCTCCTATGCCATGTTAAAATGATTTAATTCATAAGTAAATAACCGTAGCTCCAAATCTAACAAACTTTATATGTAAATGGGGTAGAAAAATGCCTAGTTTAACATGGTGGCTTTACTTTGCATGTTTAAAAACTATAAAATTATGTTTAGGGCAGAACAGTACCAAACCTAATATATGCATATGAGGAGTTTCCGGAATAGTTGTTCGTTGCTTCCGGCCTCATTTAACCTTGACTAGATAGGTAGTTTACATTTGCTTCACCTCTTGCCATGTTTAACAACATTTAATATTATTTGGTACATAAACGAGATCAAACTAAATAATTGATGTGGTGCTCTGTCAATATGCATCCCGATGCATATTGAGCTCCACTTAATTTGTAGGATTGTTTGTGCATTTTGCCATGCCGTGCCTCATTAAACCGGACATGCATCATACTCGTTTGTGCTTCATGCCATGTTGATGTGTTTGTTGTTTACTTTGTTGTTTGCTTCTTTCCGGTGTGCTTCTTCGGGTTGTTTCCGGCAACGTCGCGTTTGTGAGGAACCGTTCGTCTACGTCCGTTTGTCTTCTTCATGGACTCGTTCTTCTTCCTTGCGGGATTTAAGGCAAGATGATCACACCCTCGAAATCACTACTATCTTTGCTATGCTAGTTTGCTCGCTCTTGCTATGCCAATGCTTCGATGCCTACCTTTTGCTTGTCAGCCTCCCAATTGCCATGTCAAACCTCTAACCCACCATGTCCTAGCAAACCGTTGATTGGCTATGTTACCGCTTGCTCAGCCCCTCTTATAGCGTTGCTAGTTGCAGGTGAAGTTGAAGATTTCTCCATGGTGGAGAGGATTTTGGTTGGGATACCACAATATATCTTATATAATTAATGCATCTATATACTTGGTAAAGGGTGGAAGGCTTGGCCTTTTGCCTGGTGTTTTGTTCCACTCTTGCCGGCCTAGTTTCCGTCATACCGGTGTTATATTCCCGGATTTTGCGTTCCTTACGCGGTCGGGTGATTTATGGGACCCCCTTGACAGTTCGCTTTGAATAAAACTCCTCCAGCAAGGCCCAACATTGACTTTTACCATTTGCCTCACCACCACCTACTTTTCCCTTGGGAGTCGCTCTCTCGAGGGTCATCTTTATTATAGCCCCCCCCCCCCGGGCCAGTGCTT